GTTGTGCGCTCGTGCGCCCGTCCGGCTAGGTGCGCGGGGGATCGCGCGTGGCTGCGCGCTCCGTGTGCACGTCCTGTGCGCCTTAGTGTGAGCGAGGGAGTTTGGGCGCAGCTGCATGTGCGTCTGTGCGTCTGAGTGCGGCGTGCCCTCCTCCCTTCCCTTCGTGCGTGTTACCTCCTGTCTCTCCCGTGTGTGTTGCCCGTGCGTCGTTCTTCCCAGGCGTGTTCCCTGTCCCTTGTCCGTGCGTGTTTGAAGTCCGTTCTCCTTCCCGTGCGTGCTGTCCTCCGTTGTCCTTCGTGCGCCCTCCACTTGTGCATGCGAGAAGTGTCCCGACCCGGAGCCCTTTTCGGCTTTTATGTTTTGCAAGGCTCCCCCTCCCTGGCTCTCCACTCTTCGGAGGCTGCCCACGAGTTGCAGCGCCCCGGTACCGGGCCTGTGCCCGAGCCTGATTGGGCCCCTGAAAGGTTTTCAACGACGGGGGCCTTTTGCTCGGGAAGTGGGCCTTTTGCAGCGCCCCGGTACCGAGGCTACTCCCGAGCCTGTCCCGGGCCTATTTGGGCCTAGGTGGTCCCCCACGCTCAAGCGGTACTGGCCCTTGAGGAAACCGAGCAGGGGCCCCCAAAATTGTAGGCCATAAGGCCCATTTCTGAGCCTTAGGCCGGGAACCTCTTTTCCTTGGCACCAAGGCCCGCCTAAAAGGCCGGTCTCCATCATCACCAACACAAGGTGTTCTCGAGATTTGGTCACTCGTGGTAACTTCGGAGGCTGTCACTGCTCGAGATGCTCGAAGCTTTGCGTCAAGGGCCCGACGCCCTTTTCCTTCTGGCTTTTCCCCGACCCTTGGTGCAATTCTGGCCCTTCACGGTGGTGCCCTTTGCCCCGAGCCCTTGGCAATCTTCCTGTTGCGGCAGTCTTTCCATGCCCGTCCGCGGCTTAAGCCCGTGTGCACCCCCGCCAGGATGTCCCCTCCCATGTCCATGGTTCCATCCTTTCCAGATGTCGCGACCGGTACTCGTGGTGTTGTTCTTGTTGGCATAACTTCCGGATCCTGATAGCGGTCCCTGTCGGTAAAGTAAGTGAGCCGGACCCTTGGCACGAGCCCTTATCGAGGAAGTAAAGGGCGGCATAAGGTTGGAGCCGCCCGACAGCAGCGCCCCCCCCTCCATTCTCGGTGTCCCCTGCAAGCCATCTTGGATATCAAGGAAAAAGAGAATGGAGAAAGAGTTGACTCCTAATCTTTACCCATCAACCCAAGATTATCCTCATCGCCTCCGTCGGATCCTTTTCTCTTGCTTCTTTTTCTTGTCTCGCTTTTTCTCAATCATCCTCTTTTTAATCCCTAATTGTTTCTTGGCCCTCCGCTGTCTCCTCTCGCGGCGGTGCTTGTTTTGTCCCTTATCTACTACTCACACACTCCTAATGGCTTTCTTACCCTTGCGCTTCCTCTCCCGTCTTAGCGTAGCCGATTCTAGGACCTTTTGCCTCTTTTTCTTTGTGTCCTTCCATTGGCTATTTCGGACCCCTAAGACCTTCTCCCACCTCCTTTTCGTGGATTTCTTAGAGGGTTCTCCTACTTCATAAGTGGACGACTCACGCTCCCTTGTGGTTTCTCCTGCAAGCTCTTCCAAGCGTTTCTCTAGCCGCTCGCTCTCCTTCTCCTTACCCTTTTCCAAATGCAGGGTAGCTCCTTTTCGATCCTTAAATATTTTCAAGCGGGCTCCAGACACCGGCTCTTTCCACCTAGTTCCGTCTACTTCCTCAAGCAGGTAGGCCCCGCCTTCCAGTATCTTTACCACCCGGTAAGGCCCCATCCATCTGTTTGTCAGCTTCCCTGTCCATGTTCTCTCCAAAGCGGAATCATAGAGTAAGACTAGGCTTCTCGCACGTATTCCTTCCTGCCTGACTCGGAGGTTTTTATCCCACCTTTCCTTCTCCTTCCCCCTCTAGGCTTTTAGCTTCTCTATGGCATCCAGGGTGCTATCCTCGAGGGTCTCAACTATTTGCTTAATCCTAGCGCCCAATAGCTGCTCCCTAGTCGACACTTCTTCCCAATCAATCTTCGTCCAAGAATCCATATGAAATTTTATGGGTAAGGGACAATGTCTACCGAACCATAAAGTATACGGCGGATACCCAATGGTTGATCGAACTGTAACATTGTCTGCCCAGACGGCGTATCTCAAATACGTCGGCCACTTCTTCTCCCTCCCCCTGCACCACTTAACGAGCGCGTTTACTAGAGACTGATGCCCCCTCTCTACAGGAGCATTAGCTTGAGGGTGGTATGCCGTGGATAACGATACTCGGATTCCTACTCTCTGGAGCAAATCCTGGACTTCCTTAGCCATGAACTTCGACCCTCTATCCATAACGATCTTCCCGACACACTCGTACCGGGTGATATACTCGGGCAAATATTCATTGACGACTTTCCCAGTCTTCTGACGTAACGCCCATGCTTCCACAAAGCCCGTCAGGTCATCCCGAAATCCATGATGTAATTCATTCCTCCCTCTCCCTTGGGCATTTTGACCAAATCGACGTGAACTTTTTGTCCTACCGCTGTCGGATATGAAGGGACCAACGACTCTTTATACTTAACCACAACCCTCTTCTGACACTCTACGCACGTCTGGCAATAGGACTCCACGTCTCTATATAGGCCGTCCCACCAGTAGAGGTTCCTAACCTTTTCAAAAGTCCCCTTCACTCCTCTATGCCCTCCAACGATACCGTCGTGAACTTCTGCTATTATTTCTTGTCGCTCACCCTCATCGCAGACAACCCTCGTCGGCATGTTGTGCTTAGGTGGTCTCTTAAAGAGGTGTCCCGCCCTGAGGCAATATTGTTGAGCCTCCTTCCTAAGCTTGTCATCTACCTCCACTTCGCCTATGCGATACCGCCCTATGCGATGGTACTTACCGGTGTAAAGATTCTCTAGGAACAGAGAATCCCCACTGGTAATAGGTTTCATCTTTAATGAACCTATCCCCATTTGTAAGAACTTGTCAACTCCTCCAAGCGACCCCAGGTTTCCATCTTCTAGGGGAATTCGCGATAAGCCATTTGCGACTGAATTCTTGACCCCGGATATTCGTTCCACTACATAATCAAACATCCTTATGTGCATAAGCCACTTGGTAATCGTGGGGTCCGTCAACGAGAAATCTTTTTGTAACACAGCCGCCACCGCCGTTGGGTCGACCCGTAGTACGGACCCTCGTCCGTAAATATAATGTCGAAAGACATTCAAACAATGCAACACCCCAAGGACTTCTTTCTCAAGTTGCGAATAGTTCCTTTCGGTGGTGTTCAGGGTTTTACTCTCAAATCTGAGAGGCCTTTCCTTACCATCGGAGTCCTTCTGAACCAAGACTCCGCCAACGGAGGCAGGCCCTGCGTCCGTACATACCACAAACAGTCGCTTCTCCTCATCCTCGAAATAAGGGACTCCTAAGACCTGTCCTCCTTCCTTAAACTCTTCTTTCAATATTCTTACTGCACCTTCCTGTTCACCAGTCCATTTTCATTCCACCCCTTTCCACACCAATCTCCTAAGGGGTTCTGCCTTCTCAACATACCCCTTTATGAAATTCTTCCAAAACCCGACCACTCCCCGGAACTGACGTATGTCGGTGATATTTCGGAGCGGGGTGGGCCAGTTCATAAGTTTTTCTAGCTTCGCAGGGTCCGGTCGCCTGCCATTTCTATCACAGATATATCCCAAGATCTTAATGGGAGATACTGACCATCTACTTTTAGTTCCACTCACTGTGAGATTAGTGTCCTCTAGTTTTACTAGCACCCTCTTAATGTCTTCGGCGTGAGTTGCGACGAATTTCCTCACTCCAGGCATCACTTCCGTCTCATCCATCTCAAGCGGTCCTTTGATTGGGAAGTCATCCAGGAAAACTTCCACCAAATTTGGTATAAGCTCTCCCAGATCTGCCACCATTGCTCTTTGAAAAACAGCGACGCCATTAGTCCATCTCATCGGTATCACCATCATCTGGATTAATCCTAACGGGGTGTGCATTGCCGTCAGGTGCCGGTCTCTATAGTCTAGTGGAATCTCGTCGTAGCCCGAGAAAAGGTCGTAGACCGAGTAAATCGAACGCCCGGCTGACCCTTCAGATAGGAGACCCCCATTCGGAATAGACCCAACGTCTCTAACCGTGACCTTATTTGTCTTCTGTAGGTCTTGTATCCACCGCCGTTTCTCGTTTGACTTCCGTATGAAGAACCACCTATTTGCATAGACGCTTTCACATGGCTCTGCTACGAACGTCCTGATTTTCTCTTTCACACTATCATCTTTTTTTTTTGGGGGGGCACACTTCCATCTCGCGTCATTCCACGGAACGTGTGGAACCGTATAGATCCTTGAGGGTTTAGCATATCGCGGGTCTATTCGTCCTCTTTCCGCGTCGCAGAAGGCTACCGCCTTATCGCATGCTCGTAATGTCTCTATTATGAGCTCTCTCTTCTCCTTGGTTATATTCATGTCGCCTATATGCATCCCTTTCAACCTGTCTTTTGTAATTCTCTGCCCTTCAGCGGCCTTTCGTTCTCTGATCATCTGAGTAATTTCCTCCTCAGTGATCCCTATCTCTCCGGTCCTATCACGGCTGACCGCGGTTGGTTCACCTTTTTGGGCTACAGTTTTGTATCTCTTTCCCCCACCGTGTGAGGGAATTCCTCCAAAAAAAACAGGTTCATACACTCTCCGAACTCGTCATCATCACTCTCTTTCGAGTAAGCTATCCCATCTATAACATACTTGTTCTCAAGTTCTTCCACTTCAATCTTTCTTCCCTTCAACCTATGAGGCCCTAGAGCGAGTTCTTCGGGAATCATCTGGCAACTCCTTGTCATTAGCTGCCCTCTATTCTGTAAGGACACCTTATGACGCTTGTCAAATCCGTGCACAGTCTTCAGGGTAACCCTGATTCCTTCTAGTCCGTCTATGGTGACTGTCTAACTCCCATCACGCTTGTTCTCGGTGGTGGCGTTGACACGGGTCAGCCACGTTCTCCCAAGGATTAGCTCTGAAGATCAATGTTCCACCGTGAAGACCGGCACGGTGGCTTCAACTCCAGCAACCTCGACCTTGGCCTTATGACACACCCCAAGCACGGGCTGCTTTAGCTTGTTAGCGGACACCATGGTCATAGCTACGCTTCTGTCTACGTCGAGGCCAAGTTTCCTTGATACCTTATCCTCGCAGACGGTAGACTCGGATCCGTCATCCACTATAGCCTCCATCCTTACCCCATTTACAGTGGCGTTGAACTTTCCACTACCAAGGACGTAAAAGTAGTCGCCCTTGCCTCCTACAACTTTTGTCTGCTCTTGCTCTCCCTTCTCCGCCACCAAGACAGAGGTTTTCGTCTCTGCTTTAGGTTCTCCAGAAGTTGCCGTCTCGGTCAACGGCACCTTAGCTTTCTTCATCATCACGATCAGTTCATCCCTCACCGGTCCACAGTCGGCTATGAATTCCTTGAGCGTAATAGGAATGGGCATATCCATTGCCCTCCTCAACGGCTCCCTCAAATCAACCTCGTCCAACGAGTTTCTGAGCTGGAATTTCTTGGCCGCTCTCTTCCTAGGGGACTGAGGAGACTTCGGCGACTCCACTTGCTCATCTATCATTGGTTGATCCTGGTCTTCTTTCTTCCCACTGCCTGACCCGCCGACGCCTTGGGCGCATATATAGGTTTCGCCATCACTCATTGTATCTACAAACTTAATGGAGGAAACTCTCATTCCTGAACTCTCTGGCGGTTCTTCTATCTCGTCCTCAAAGGTCACTCGTGAAGTCTTTGCCATCGTCGCTCCTGCGCTTGTTTTCCCTTTGCTTCATTCATCCTCCTCCTCCGGATATCCACATTTATCTTCATCGAAGGTAGGAAGGGTACAGGTTTCCCCTCATCTGCCCACATTACATATTTTCTATCATCCAATTCAATGATACCCTCTTTCGATGCGTCTAACATGGCCTGACAATCTCTTTTCCGGTGGTCCTCATCTCCACAGTACATGCAAGCCTTATCATACCAGGTCCGTCTTGGACTAGGGTCTCCCTTCTTCTGGCCCTCTGGCCGTGGAGCAGCCCGTACAGGGGGTTCCTCCTTCCTTTGACTATGATTTTGCAATTTTTCTACTGTCGCCTTTAAGACTTCTATTTCCTTTCCCATGTCCTCCTCACGTCTTTCTGGCCTCCTAGCCTCCACCTCATCTTTCGGCTTCCACCTGCTATCCTTAGCGTTAGCCCACTTGGACGTTCCCCACTCTCCATCGCTTCTTTTCCAATCACTTCGTTTTCCCTTCCTCCATTCACTCTCACTTCTGGCAAATTCCCCTCTTCCAGGCGAACTCGTATTAGTGTCCTTTCCTTCGACTTTGGGTCTCCTGTCGTTCCCGTAGTCACTCCCTTTCCTAGGTTATCGAGGACTTTCATGATATGCACTTTGCACTTTGCCCTTCCGTATCATGAGCCAAGGCCCTTACTTGGGCAAACGTCACGCCCTGAGAGGGAAGATCCCTCACAATCATCTCTAGCTTCTCTCGTGGTAGAGAACCTAGGAATATTCCACATCTGTCTGGTTCCCCTATGAATCCTCCCTCCACCAGCAGGTTCGAGGCCTTCTCGTATCTCCTCACAAACGCTACCAGACTTTCGTCCTCCTTTTTTTTCATCTCTTTCAGGTCCTCTATCGAGTAGGAGACTTCATCATAAGCGAAGATCCTAGTAACCCTCTCCCTGAACGTCAGCTAACGACCATTGTCTAAAATGGCGTCCCTTACTTCTCGATTTATCTTTGGTGTAGTATGGTGGAGGAAATTTGCGATCATTTCTTGATCAGTCCATTCTCCTCTCATTCCAATAACCTCCCAATCATCCAGAAACTCAGAAACGTTCTTCCCTGTGAAGGTTGTCTGGACGCTGGTCAATGCTGGGGACGAGTACATCTGAGGCCCAAAGAACGGAGACACATAGGAGCCTGGCCCGTAAGCCATGGAGTAAGGGCTCCTTCTACAAGGCTCACCAGGGCTCTCCCTCCAAGGCTCCCTCACTCCGGTATTCGTGAACCTCGACATTCTGGTTCTATTCAAGACGTCTTTCCTCCAGCCTTCGCCCTTGGAGCTTCGCCCTTCAAGTTCTTTGGCGCGATTCTCCAATTCTCTTAAGGCTCTTCTTAGTTTCTCTGCGTCACTAGCAACATCCATACCCATTTTCCTGTTTGGGCTACTCGTCCTTGACTCTTGTGTTTTTACGTCTCCCCCTATCGAAGTCAAATAAGTCCCTTCAGCATCCATCTCTCCCAACTAACTTTCGGATACTCGGCTCACGGCAATTAAGATTCTCTTGATCGAGCCCTCCAGTATCTCTTGTAAAGCCTCGAAGTCGGCGTCTTCCCCTTCAGCTCTAACAACTAAAGCAGTGGTCAGTACAACTTTTGAATAGCGCGAGTTAGCCTCCAAGGTTCTTAATGAGACTCCGTCCACTATGTCGTTGGAAAGCTCTTTGGGCTCCCCAGCGTCTTCCTTTAATCTTATTCTTGCCTCAGCTATGGTCTTTCTCCATTCCCTGTAAAACGGTTCCCCTTCAAACGGTATCGTGTGAATCTCAATTTTCGCCAGTCGAAGTTCGCCGGCCGCTTTCCAAATAGCACATATCCTAGCTTCTCTAACAGCCTTCCTAGCGGACTCCGCCTCCTCCTCCTGGTTCAACCTTTCGTCATGTATCACTTCTACTCTCGCTCGCACCAAGGACCCCTCTATCTTCGCACCCCCTATGAGCTGATATTTTCCGGCCACCCCTCTGGTACTAGCCATTCCTTCTCTCTCTAGTTTCTCTACGGATCTCTCTTATTCTCCTCACCAGAAACTCTTCCCTCTAGTTTATTATTTTCTCCCTTTCTTCTTTGTAGATCAGAGCCAATCCCTCTACCCTCTCCTCAAGCGCAAGGAGCTCCTGCTCATTGGTAGAGTCGCACGACTACTTGTAGCCATCAACTAACTCCACTACTTTATCGTTTATTGGATCTAAGTAAATCTCAACAAGCGAATTAACCTTTTCGTCGCTTCCTCTCACGCGCGGGATCGTGCCTCTTGGACTGTCTCGTCTTTCTCTACTTCGTGTTTCAGCCATCCCTGCGACCAAATCATGACATCATAAGTTATCCGCCTTTCAGTCACCACTAACATCAGGAGTCTTGACCGTTCCCGATCTATCATTTCTTCAGCTAGGCGCCTACAACTTCGTTCATCAAGAGACCTTGTTGACCTTATCTGGATAACCGACGTTACCCTTCTGGCGAAGGACACCCTATTCACTTCCTCCTCCTCGGTCACCGCTCCCGGCATTGCTCCTTGTCTCGGTCTTAGTCTCAGCAGTGTCACTGCTCGTGTCAGTCTCAGCCTCAGCGGTGCTGCCGTCCATCAACCGGTTGTCTTTAATTCTCCATACAAAATCTATTATTGCTTCCCATCCATTTCTCTGGAGCGATGTCAAGCTTGGCTGAGGTCTCGGCATTCCTACGAAAGGAACAACCTCCATGCTCCAAACGTGGGTCTCACCCTTCCTCTTCGATCTTCTTCTCTCTTCCAGAACAATGTCAACAGCTCGCTCCCAGCAACTCTCATATCGTCGTTCTCTATATCTAACCTTTGGAACGTAGATTCGAGTATCATACTCACCGAGGTCAAGAAAGTAGCACATTATCACGTAAAGACTATCGTGTTCTAAGTCAAGTTCCTTCAGAGCCACATACGGGAATGTTAGATAACGAATTTAAGGAGTCTATAAGCTGCCTGTTCTCCTCATCACTTAACCTGCCTGCTTCCCTACTCCGCGGAAACCAAGGCCGGAAAGGAGGGATCCCACTCATCGGTTCTAATTCTCCACGGCCCTCAAGACACCTATCCTTCCTCTGCCGTCTCTAATCTCATGTTCACCCTCTACCCCAAATAGGCCCGTGTCAAGATAGTTGAAGATACAATTCACCTTCTCTTTCACTGAGGCAGGTGGCTCCTCTCCTTATTTCAACCCTTCTGGTTCTTAAACACGTTCTCCTTCAACAGACCGTGGTCCCCAATGTGCACAGATCTTCCTAAGTCCATGCCCTCAGAAGCCCGCATAGGTCCTCATATATTTTCCAGTCGAGACCTCGTTTTTGCACTTCGCGGATTATGTCCCCGCTTTCAGGTCTACCTCCTTTGGCCATTGGCAGCCCTATGGCGCAAGGCAAACTCAACTACTACTTCTTGCCTTTCATCGTTCAATGCCTCACAGGGAACCGAAGGTTTCGGTAGTCGCTCAAAGGTCGTTATTTTCGTACTCCAGATGACGCACTTACCTATCGAGCGTAATCTGTCTCTTTCATCTTCCACTAGCTCTTTTGCCCTTTCCCAACATCGGCCATAAACGAGGTCGACGTTCCCTTCTATTGGTAAGTAGATCCTCACGTCCCGCACGCTCATCCCAAGAAACCGCACAGTCATCACATATAAGCGTATCTGTTCCCAACCGCTATCAACCGACTTGTACATTTTAACCTTTTATGGGATTGACTCTTTCCTTCCTAAGGAACTAAGTGTTGCACGAACAGTCTCAACCCTCTCTCTTGTCGGCCTGTTTCCAGAGAGGAACTTCTCTCTTCTAGCTTCCAATTCTTCACTCGAGATCCATCCCTCTTTACTCATCACTTACCTTCCCCAGCATCTCGCTCTGAGTGCCATGTGTATCAAAGGCTCCCAGTTACTCCCATCTAGGTAACTGTTAGGGATTGGTGGGCTAGGCACGTCGTCGTACTCTCTAGGCATTATATTCAAGTTAACTCTTTTCCCTTCTCTCTCTAGTTTGTTCTTGTAAGCATAGGCTATTGTTTCAGCCCAATTCCGACAACCCAGAGGGCACCTGTTAGCCTTCTTCCTCTTCGATTGTAGAACCCTATATCATATTCTTCTGTTTCCACAAACTTAACCACCAGCACATACACTTTCTCCTTCAGTTCTACGTTCACTATGGTAGTGTAGTGCTCGATCACATATGGAAAGGCCCCCCTTAGGGTTAAGGGAGTCCAGTCTCGTAGCAAGTCTTCTATAGTCGGGTCGCTGGAGGATGGCAACCCCCAGTTCACTCCATTCTCCCAGCTGACTTTGTCCGTCAAGAGCTCAATCATATCTGGACCCCTAGCCTTGGCCACCGTCCTTTAGCATAGTCCTCTATCTCACCCGGATCCCTAAAATACTCCACTCTTTCCTCGATAAATCCCCGCGGATCCTCCCACAATTCGGGTTCCTCCCTTTGTTCCTCCCAGCCGGCCTCGTCCTCCTCGTCTCGCTCCTCCTCGTCCTTGAGGGCCCCTATCCTCCTACAATGCGAGTGCAACTCGAAGAACCCAATGAGCACCCTCTCCCTAACCGACGGGTCGTAATCCCTGGTCCAGTATAACTCCGCTATTCCTGCCAGATGGTTCAGCGGTTCCCGCAGGGCTCTATCAAGCGTGGACCAAAACTCGGTCAGCTGCTCCTGTGTCGGCGCCTCCCACGAGTCCCTAGGTGAGGCTGCCCTAATCAACTCCACTAGCTCCAGGGCCGCTTCACCGAACCTAGGCCCATCCTTCCACAGGGCGTAGTACGCGTGATGCTCGTCGCTATTTCTTACGAGACCTTGAATCTCCAGAAAGGCCCAATGGACCCAAATTAGGCGGTCAAGGCCCCCTAGGAACCCCTCCAAGACAAAAATCGGAACAGGCATCCTCAACGCCTCTTCAAGCTGCGGCTGGAACCCCTCTCTTGCTAGACGGAGAGAGGCCACTATAGACCTAAAATCCCTATCGCAACAGCGCTCCTTTCCCCGGAGCTTCTCCACCTCCTCCCATAGTATGTTCCGCGCCACTACTTCATCTGGCCAAGTGTATGAGTCGAGACTCGATATCACCCCCTGATTCGGATCCCAATGGCTTCGCTCTACTGCCCGAAAAAGTATGTCAGCTAAGACAGAGGTTCGGTAATACAGAAAGCCCCATACTTCCAGTTCCAACGAATCCTCTGTCAGCCTCCCCCTCCTATCTTGCTCAAATCCTACCAAGGGCGCAACCAACAGCCAAACCCCCGGCCTCAACAGGACAGACCTCCAATTCCTATTTATCCTCTTCTGGCCGCCCCGCCTGACCGCTCGTCCTGGTAGGGTGAATTCTACCCAATCTTCTCCAATAAAATCGGGTTCCCTATACTCGAATTGGCAGAGTATAGCGGCATGTCTTTGTTCCTCTTTGATACGAAAAACAATCCGCCGCAGCTCTATCCAGGCAGTAAGTAACCACCCGACCTCTGCAACAGTCGTCCTAAACTGAGTCGCCTTCCGGATCACGCCTACTAACCCCTGACGCCTACTCTCGTCACCAAAGATAACCCCTGTTAGGAATCTAGGCACGACCGCAACTCTCACAGACGAGGCCCTAAGGGGCTCCCATTCATAGGCGTATCTAACCGTGTATTTAGCTATAACGTCAGCTCCCGTCCCATCTGAAAACTCACAAAATATCCGAGCCCCGAACTTGCGCCCTAGAGATGCTAGACATAGAAGGGTGCGGCAATGCCTGGCGGTGTCAATTACCAAAAACTTCCACTCTCCTTCTGATAGGTACAACCTAACATTGACCTCCGCCCGAAGTGGTTCTCTTTCCCTATCCCTCCTAACACAAGGCCTAGGCCCACACTCAACTCTCGCCCATATAAATATCCCGTCTCGCACTATCAACCCTTGTTCCACAACCGGCCGATACTTGCTCGACCCTTCTAATGGCAAACTGATTACGTCGTTCTGCCCGTTCTCCTCTGCGAGATGCACTTGGTTCCCTGACTCAATATATACCATACCTAATTAACACACAACAGCCGCTCTCAACGTATCTTTTCCAGTGCCCATTCTCGGACTGTTGAGCTCACAGACCCCCACGACATGCCTCCACTGATCACCCCTGCATCCCCTCAAGACGTCAACAGACCTAGGGAAGAACCGCCCTCTGGCGTATCTCCCCCTACCCTCATGTCAAGAAGGAGGTTGGATCAATGTGCCATCATCGTTAGCCTACCTCCCACGCCGCTACCTGGACACGAGTTGGCCAACTCATGTGCCCTAGGGTGGACCGAAGTCACACGCAAACGAAGGGGCGGTGTCTCACTCGTGCATCCTCACTCTCCTATCCATGCCTCTACTCGGCCCACCTCAGGCATGGTCTCTCTCCCCGACTCGTGTTGTGGATCAATCCCCCCAACTATCCATCAGGATCAGCTAGCCTATCTAGTCCCGCCCAACTCCTTGCAGATCCGGGACGCTTCTCCCCTCCCCTTCAATCCCTTCAGTTCATCCCCTGCTTACAGTTTTCTCTCTTGGAGCTAGATCAGGGCGGACCGGCCAAAGGGTAGGGAAAAATCAGAATTACCCCTCTCGATCACAAAGAAAAATAGGAAGAAAAATGCATGGAATCACGAAAATGCAAATCCGACAAATCATGAAATGCGGAAATCCAAAATGCAGAAATCCAATTCTCACCCGGGAATGTCGATCATAGGTCGCCTGCCCGTCGTCCGTTCACTCGTGCTCACACCGCACCTGCACGTGCCAGGAAATGTCTGATATGAGCCTCAAGCAAAAGGTCCCCTGCTCCACCTCCTTGCCTCTGCAGTCACAAGCGGACCGAAGTCCCGAGAGGCAGCCTTCCCCGACAACGGCGCCACTATCGACCGGTAGAAGTTTTCTGTCGGCACACCGTCCAAACCCTATACCTCGCGCCGCGTCTGTCACCCACGGGAGGGCTGGTCGGGGCTCATGTAACCTGCACAATCCACGTTAGTCTTCAACCATACAAAAGTCGACTTCGACTGACTCCACGTCTCATGTACACAAGTCTCACAAGGCAGCGTCTGGGACAAATAGAACAAGCATTTTCATTCAATCCAAAACAATGGGGTTCTCAGCACTGTTTCCAGCCTCGAGTGAAAATCCCTCGACTAGGGGGGAGAAATCGGTTTGGGTAGCTACGGATCTCTTCTGCACTCTGAGCCTGATCCTCCTCCCAATCGGATGCCGGCGATACCGGGCGCGACGGTCCTAGGGGACTGTACTAGAGCTCTCTGTGTCAGAGGTCGCTTCCCGTGCCCATTGGGGCCAAAGCTCAAGGTCTATTGTGCCTTCTTGCGATAGCGTCGATTCCCATCCCTCACAAAGGCCCCGGATCTCTTCTGCACTCTGAGCCTGATCCTCCTCCCAATCGGATGCCGGGAGCACCCGTTCATAGCGCCCTTGTTACGTGCCCTCTCAAACCAGCCAGTGTCCGATGTCCCCACTCGTAGCATCCCTTAAATGTGCCCAAAGAAAGCCCGTTTACGGTGTGCCCCTTCGGTATTCCTCTCCTTTCGCCGTACCTTTGTCCTCCTCCGAGCAACCTTAGAGTCCCCTTTCGGTTGACCTGCTCCCTGAAGGTGTCCCCCTTGAGTCTGCTAAATGTCCCCCTTCTTCTCCCTGTCGGAGTGCTCCGACCGTCTCCGGTGCCCCTTCGACGCGCCCTGTTAGAGTGCCCCGTCAGCGTGTCCTTTGGTGCATCCCTTTTGAAGTGTGCCCTTTGTGCCCGGGGCTGCTGTGCGAGGCTGCGCACCCGTGCGTCCGTGGGCGCTGATGTGCGTGGGGGCCGCACGAGGCTGCGCGCCCGTGCGCGCGCCCAAGTGCATGCGGGGGCTGCGTGGGGCTACGCGCCCGT